GTGGAGGGTCAATCATGCTTTGGGGCTGTTTTGCTTCTGCAGGTACAGGGAAGCTTCAGCGTGTGCAAGGTACCATGAATTCTCTTCAGTACCAGGAGATATTGGATGGAAACGTGATGCAGTCCGTCACACACCTGAGGCTTGGGAGACGTTGGACCTTTCAACAGGACAATGATCCCAAGCATACCTCCAAGTCCACTAGAGCATGGTTGCAGAGGAAAGGCTGGAACATTTTGGAGTGGCCATCGCAGTCACCAGACTTAAATCCGATTGAGAACCTCTGGTGGGACTTAAAGAAAGCAGTTGCAGTGCGCAAGCCTAAGAATGTGACTGAACTGGAGGCCTTTGCCCATGAAGAATGGGCGAAGATACCCGTAGATCGCTGCAAGACACTTGTGTCAAGCTATGCTTCACGTTTAAAAGCTGTTATAACTGTAAAAGGATGCTGTACTAAGTACTAAGATTGAATGTCACTTGGGGGTTGAATAAAACTGATAATGCTGTGAGCACAGAAAAGACATTTGTGGTTATTTCATTATAACTGTTATGTTATATTTGTCTGACCTACAAGTGCCTCTTTAATGTAAATGTAAGCAAGATGACTGAATGATCAAAAGCAATGTCAAACTGGCCAAAACACTCAATTTCAGTGGGGGTTGAATAATTTTGGACACAACTGTATATATATATATATATATATATATATATATATATAAAAATATACAGAGAGCAATAGCACAGCAAAGAGATAACAGAAAGAAGTTTAGAGGGATAAAGTACTTGCAGTCAGCCTTGGTTTAAGTAGATCAGGTTTCAGAGCCAAAAGGATGCCTTATCTCCCAAAATTAGTTCCGATGTTAAAAGGGAGAATCTTCAACTTTGCTCAACTCAGCTTAGCTTAGCTTTTTCTAGGAACTCAGCAGGGTGTCTCCCTGAAGCAGAGAACCAATCGCCTCATTTGGGTGGGTGTTGCAGGCGGAGACCCAAGCTATGACCAAAAACCCTCACATTTGATGTTATGGTTCATAATTTATTCTCGGTGCATTTAGCAGCCTTGCCACTAGTAGATTAATAAGGAATCACCGGCTGAAGGTCTAGGTATGAAATATGACATACCTGCTGGGATGCTTAAGGAGATATCATTTTCTACTCTCCTGTTGATGCCAGCTAGGGGATGTAATATATTAGACGACTTGTATTAACGTGACCGATCTGAATACATGCCCGGTTTTTATGTACGTCTGTCATAGTCCAAGATATGTAATCATAGGGGAAAAGTGGATTTTTAAATGTAAGTCTGGTTTACGCTTACCAGGAATGTCTCTGAAACTCAGTGATGGCTTGGTTTATGGCTTTACGATCCCTTTTCCAAGCAGAGTCTCGCAGACATAGGAGCACCAGCTAATTGGGGTTTATAGCCATGACGCCCTCCCAATGAGTTTGCTTCCTGTGATCTCTGTCATCATCCAGACCACATGTCCCTCAACAGAGAGGGAGGGGGGATATCAGAGGAAACTGATTTGGGAGAGAGAGATACAAGATGGAGGGGTCTGGAGCAAAATGGATGACCGCGTCCATCTCGGTGTGCACGATTGCTACAACTGGTTCCTGCTCTGATGAAAGGAACACATTGACATGCAAAGTGTTCTGTGGGCCTTCTGCAGAGAAAAGGTTCAACTGCAATTTTGAATTGGCTACCTTTTGCTTAGTCTACGATATAGCTACAAATGAGGGTATTCCCCTGAGGGGTACTCAGTAGAGTATAAGAGATAGGGTTAGTGTATTTGGTAGGTGTACACAGTAATCCAGGTGTATATTGTTCTCATGGTGAAAGGGTGGAAGGATGCTACTGAAGACTATATAAGGGTTCTAGGTGGAAGTACCATTAAAGTGTGCAGCCAGTGATGTGATGTATCACCTGGTCACTCACCTGAGACTGAGCTCTGAGTAGTTGAATTATAGCACCAAGTTTGAAATGTTTACACTGCGAACTGAGTACATAACAAACATACTAGGTCAGAGATACTAGATAATCCTGTCTTACCTTTCCAGAACACTGGACTGTACATAAAGTAGAGGCTTCACCTGTCATGGTGGGTATACCCCCAATGGGGTCTTCAAGGACTGGTTCCATAGTGAAAGATCCAGTGCCTAGAGAAGCATTACAGGCCATCCCCACAGTGTGGGTTCCAGGTACAGCTCCCCAGGTTTTACCGAAGTTGCATCATTTCAGATACACTGCACAAGTTGATGGTGCTATATAAGTACCTGTAAAAAATGCGACTCTGGAAACAAAATACAAGTTTGGCTCCTCTGAACCTTCCCCATGTGCAAACAGAAATCACTGCAAACACATGCAAAAGCATATCACTGGAAAGGATATATTTTTAGCATGTTAAGGGAAGGAGTATGTAAACCCCAACAATGATCTTCTCTGATATTTTTCCTTTTGTTCCATTAAATATAACATTAAAAACATTTTGCCATATCTGTTTGATAAATATAAAAAATACCTGTTGATCCTAGCAGAATCCTGGAAGCTTATAACTTCCTGTGCTGCACTCTCATCAGTTACATTACTTCCAGTTACTTTAGGGCTACACAACAAACAGAACACGTGTTATGTAAAAGGAATGGGGAAAATGTTCTGTAGCCGTGAAGTAGTACTAAACCCAAAACAGTAAAATCAGTCTGTATATGCAGTAAAGCATGCTTGTTATACTCACTATGGAACCTAAAGGGGTTAATCCTCTGTATCTTGTAAAAAGGCTATTTGGTCCTGTTTTCTCTGCCCCTCCTCTTGTTCAAAAGCCCATCTGATAAGACAGACTGAACCCGTAGTCATTCTGCACATGCTCAGTTTAGTGTGTATTGCTAGAGGGGTTTTTTTTGTCTTGGGAGAGTGCATGTGATCAGCACAAGGCCAATCAGCACTGTCCAGACAGAGGGTCAGGGGTTCTGCATCCTCCTACAAGCTTTAACCAGTGCTTTGCTGAAGTCACAAGACCACTATATACTGCTGATGAGAAAAGGTTTTTAGCAGTTTATATTTACTTAATTAATTGCATTTCCATGTTCTGTGTACTGTGGGAGACCAGATAGAGTGAATGCAGGGTCCTGGTTTTAGTAACACTTTAACACAGTCATGTCCTAGGGTGATAAAGCTGCTCTTTTATAGATGCAGTGCAGTGAGTGACCAGTGTCACCCTAGGACAGAACATTTACTATTGGCAGGATCACAAGGTTACAAAAAGGGAAAAAGCCAGAAAAAAGAAAAATGTATACAGGCAACACATTTAAAGTCCGGTAAGCTCATATATATAATATTTCAAGCCTTTTTTAAATTTATTTGGTAATGTGCTTAAGAAAAAGATAATAATTCAGGGCTTGGCTTTTGTATTCTCATTTTTTCCTATGAAAAATGCATATTTCTTCCATATTGGCTTTACTTATTTGGCCTATGGACGATTTTTGGCTTGACAGTCTGGGCTAAAAGATTACATTTGAAAGCTACTTTCCTATCAACTGCCTGACTTCTGATACCATATCGTAACTTCTGACTGTGCATAATAGTACCAAATAACAGGATCCTGTAATTGATGTCTTTTTGGGCATTTTTAAAAAATTTCATCTGGAGAGGGGAAGGAGGGGCTTTCTCAGCTAAGCACGACCCCCTGTCTGCACGCCTGATCTAAAGGCAGATGGATTCCAGGAAGTAAATGCTACATGAATCATCTGTCCTTACTCAAGATGATTAGAAATCCAAGGGGGTGTTTGTACAAACTGATTTTTCAATACAATAAAGCATGGAGACATGGATGGATGAGTGAGCTTGTTTGAATATTAAAAATTAAATAAATAGCATTTTCAGGTTGCGGTGCTCAGACCACAGTTAAGTTCCACCTAAAGACTTTAGGTGTTCTTGGACCCCAGACTCTCAAGTTCAAGAGTCAGTCTTAAAAGTTCTCTGGTGTGCCCACAGTTGTGGAAGTTATGAGGGGCTCCCACTATCTCTGCTCTGTGTTTCCGGGTCTGCACACCTAATGTGCCCATTATGAGCGGTTATCGCCATCCCTGTGCTGAGGTTTCGGGTCTGCACACCTGCTGTGCCGATTGTGAGGGTATTCCACCATCCCTGAGTTCTCAGCTCTGCACACTCACTGTGCTCATTATGAGGGGTTCCCATCACCCTACACTGATTTTTCAGGTTTGCACACCTACTGTGATCATTATAAGGGGTTCAAACCATCTCAACACTAAGTTCCCAGGTTTGCATACCTGCTGAGTCCATTATTATATAGTCAGTCAGGTTGAAAAAAACACAAGTTCATCAAACTCAACCTATTAAAAAAATATGTTCCCAGGTCTGCACTCCTGCTTTTTTTTTAAATTATGAGGGTTTCCACCATTCCTATCCTGAGTTCTCAGGTCTGCACACTTGCTATGCCCATTGAGAAAGGTTCCCAACATTCCTGCTTAAATGTTTTACTTATTTTATAATATGGAGAATGCAAGAGGAAGCTCTGGAACACACAAAAGTGGGCTGGAACACACAAAAACTCCCAAAAGAACAAGAACAAAAGTGGGAATTTTTGTTTTGAATAATCACGGTGTGATTATCCAAAACAAATAAGACAAGAGATTGGCTGCTAGGCACAAGCATTGCATCATGGGAAAAAAAATCACATACTCCCCCATACTTGGTATTCTGTGGTGGCAGCCACAAAAGTAAGAGTGGTAGGGTATGGCTGTCTGTGACAGGGTCTCTTTAAACCAGAAAGGATTTAACATTAATAATTACCCTTTGTAATGTACCTTGGTGTTAAACTACCATGCAACATTTTTTTTCCTGCCTGAATTCGCAGAGACGATGTAAATCGGCCGCGTTGTCATATGATGTCAGGAGGAAAAGAAATGTATCTTATTGCTGGGAAAAAATAAGCAGCTTTTGCTAAGTGTAACAGAATCAGTAATATTTTAGCTACACAGTTTACAATCACCTCTCTCAGCATGTTGGTCTCCTTCTCCTTCTGATCAAGTAGGCTCTCTAGGTGGTGGACATGCATCTCAGCCTCAGCCAGCCTCCTGGTCCTTTCATGGTCCTCATCCATCACCTTTGAGGAGATCCCTTTGCTCTGCAGCATCTCAAGCAGTTTCTTGATGGATTCATCTCTGGCGTTAAGAGTCTGTTTCTGAGTTTCAATCCTCAGCTCCATCTCCTCCAGTGTCTTTCGCAACAGGAAAAGCTCCTTGGCCTGGCGATCATGCTCCGCCTGGAGGATGCGGAAGTTCTCCTCGGTCAGCTCTCCCGTAAAGAGTTCCTTGGTTCTCCCACCACTGTCCTGCTGGAAGAGCTGGTTGAGGTCTCGCTGGATGCGCAGCTCATCTTGCATTGCCTGAATAGTCATTTGTAGGTGCTAAAACAACAGAAGAATATGGAAAAATGTAAATAAAATAAAAAGTAAAAAAAATAGAAAAATCAATGCTTTATCTACAATTGATGCTAAATTATTTTGATTTGGATGTCATGGAGGAAAATTGGGAATTCCGACAGACATTTATTTCTGTCTATGTATCCATAGAGCAAATTTCCCCTTACTTCCTGTCCTGGAAACACCCCATCTCATGTTAACACAAAGGCAATAAATATAGAACCAGTCCCACCCTCCACTGCACAGCGTGAACTGTGGTTCAATATATATTTTTATCCTCAGTATTTTTAGGCAGATAGGAAGGCAATTTTGACACACCCCCCCCCCTTCAAACTGCAAGGAAGGGATCAGCGTGAAAAAGCTTTAAGTGGTCTGACAATGGCTCCTAATGGGAGAACCTCCAACCTGGGCTTAAAGGTTAAGTTTACCTTTTGTAAAAAATAATAAATGCACATCTTTTTGCAGGTAAAAAATGTGCATTTATTATTTTTTTTCCTTGCAGCCTGTGAAGTATTGCACCTGCGATCAGCAGATAGTGGGTGCAATGCCAGGATCCTGCAGACTCTCAGACAGTTACTGAATGTCAGAAAGAATCAATGAACTTCGAGAACATTCACCAGCATCTTTGCAATTCACTGAGAACTACAAGACATCAGCCACAATGGCTAACGGTACTTGAAGTTTATTCATTCACAAGAAACTGTGCATGAATGATGCAGCTGTGTTGGAGGAGCCCAGAGGTGGGCGCATAGGAGCTTGTAACATGGTCCGAAAGGTGAAATTATCCTTTAAATTGGCTATACACTACTAGATGTTCATACAATCGTTTCGTACAAAAACAGCCAGATAGTAAAGTAAAAGCAGCATGCATTACACCTTGTTGTGTACACAGTTAACCCCTTGATTGCCCCCAGATGTTAACCCCTTCCCAGCCAGTGTCATTAGTACAGTGTCAGTATACAGTATTATCACTGTATTAGTGTCACTAGCGACATCAATGTCAATTAATGACCCTTCCAGAGGGTGTGCGTCTGCTAGCCTCCCTATCACAGTCACATTATAAGTCGCTGGTCACTGCCCCTACATTGTAGTATCATAGCTGCCTAAATTCCAGTATATATACCACCAAAAAGTTTGTAGAAGCTATAACTTTCGCAACAAACCAATTAATATACACTTATTGGGATTTGTTTTACCAAAGACATGTAGCAGAATACATGTTGGCCTCAATTTATTAAGAAATTATTTTTTTCTAAATTTTCTGTCTTTTTTGTTTATATAGTAAAGAATATAAAACTCAGTGGTAATCAAATGCCACCAAAAGAAAACTCTATTTGTGTGCAAAAAAATTCAAACACGTTCATTTAAAGTGTTGCATGACGGCGCAATTTCCAATTAAAGTAGCGCAGTGTTGAATAGCAAAAAAATGCCCTGGTCATGCAGTGGGTAAAACCTTCTGGAGGTCAAGTGGCAATACATGGTGGACCTTACAGTGTAATGTACTCTTTACCTTGGTATCACATTTTTCATTTGTGCTTTATTTCTTGGCTATGCATGTTGTTTGCGAATTAAAAAAAACAAAATCTTCAAAGATTTTAAAAGATGAAGAAAAAAAAAAAAAAATAAAACATATAGAATGTGTATTTAACCACTTGCCCTCCAGAGAATTTACCCCCCTTCTTTACCAGGCCATTTTTTGCGATACAACGTTGCGTTACTTTAACTGACAATTGCACGGTCATGCAACACTGCATCCAAATTAAATTTATATCCCTTTTTTCCCACAAATAAAGCTTTCTTTCGGTGATATTTGATCACCTCTGCGGTTTTTATTTTTTGCGCTATAAACAAAAAAGCCTGACAATTTTGAAAAAAAACAATATTTTTGACTTTGCTATAAAACATATCATGTAAAAAAATTTAAAAATCAAATTTCGTCATACATTTAGACCAAAATGTTTTCAGCTACATGTCTTTGCTAAAAAAAATCCCAATACATGTAAATTAATTGGTTTATGTGAAAGTTGCGGTATGGCTGTATATATACTGGAATTCATAATTTTTTATATACTAGTAATGGCGGTGATCAGCAACTTATAGTGGGACTGAGGTGGGCATTCTGCCACTGGGGGGGGGGGGGGGAACAGACTAACTGCCACTGACATCCTAATGACACTAATACAGTGATCACTGCTAATAAAAAGCACTGACACTGTACTAATGGCACTGGGCAGGAAGGGGTTAACATCTGGGACAATCAAAGGGTTAACTGTGTGCTGTTTTACTATGTGTGCTGGGTGTGTTTTACTAGGAAAACATACTGCTGCGTATTGCTCTGCTATGCAGAGCAATACAAAGCAGCATGTCGGTGCTGACAGGGGAGAGATTTGTGCTGTTCACTGCTCCTTGGCAATCGCTAGGTACAGGCGGGAAATCTCCGGTCGGGACCCAGTGATCGACAGCTGTAGCTGCCAATGGCGGCACGGGTAGGGCGGCGCACATGCCCCAACTCTGAAATGCAAAATTACTTATATATATTGTATTGAACTGTATTGTTACTGTACTGTCTCCCTCAATAATGTAAAGTGCTGAGCAAACTGTCGGCGCTATATAAGTCCTGTATAATAATAATAATATACATGATTTTGCGCAGCCCTGCCGCCCTGTAGCAGTAGTTCTGCTATAGTGCGGTGGGGAACCGGGTAAAGTTAAAACTGGGTAGAGTAGGGAATGGCTAAAGCTGAACGCCAGCCTTCCCTACAGTCTTGTGCACTTGTATAGGCTCCTCTGTACTGAAATTGCTTACTCTGATTTCACTGCACACTATGAGCTTCTCACAATGTCCAATAGAAGCTGCAGGAAGTCAGATAGAACCCACATCATTTCCTGGCTGGAGGGCATCCGTCATCATCTAGACCAGCGTTTTTCAACCACTGTGCCGCGGCACACTAGTGTGCCGTGAGATATTGTCTGGTGTGCCGTGGGAAAAATTCCAATTTCATCTGTAACATGTGGCTTCGGCTCACAAATAGACCAATCATTAGAATCTAATGATTCAGTGGTCGGCAAGCCGCGGCTCGCGAGCCACATGCGGCTCTTTACCCAGTCTAATGCGGCTCTTCTGTGTGCCGGGCGCCTGCTCCCCTCCCTCCTCTCGGTCGGCCGCCCGCTCCCCTGCCTCCTCTCGGTTGGCAGCCCCAAAAGTCCGCGCGGACCTTTTAATCCGGCTTGCGGATGTGGCTGTCAGGATGTGTGTAGGCGGGGCAGCGTGCCGAACGTGAGGGGAGGGGAGCTAGGCTCCTCTCACAGTCCGCCCTGAAGACCCGAACGGCGCGGGAAGACAGCGAGAGGAACGCAAAAGGTAAGTGAATTGACACGGGGGACTTGGCTTACTAGAAGGGGGGGGGGGGGAATAGTACTGTGGGGGATGAAATACTATATGAGGGATGAATTACTTTATGAGGGATGAAATACTATATGGGGGGATGAAATACTATATGGGGGATGAATTACTATATCAGGGATGAATTACTATATGAGGGATGAAATACTATATGGGGGGATGAAATACTATATGGGGGGATGAAATACTATATGGGGGGATGAATTACTATATGAGGGATGAAATACTATATGGGGGGATGAAATACTATATGAGGGATGAAATACTATATGGGGGATGAATTACTATATGAGGGATGAATTACTGTATGAGGGATGAAATACTATATGGGGGGATGAAATACTATATGAGGGATGAAATACTATATGAGGGGATGAAATACTATATGGGGGGATGAAATACTATATGGGGGATGAAATACTATATGAGGGATGAAATACTATATGAGGGATGAAATACTATATGAGGGATGAATTACTATATGAGGGATGAAATACTATATGGGGGGATGAAATACTATATGGGGGGATGAAATACTATATGGGGGGATGAAATACTATATGAGGGATGAATTACTATATGAGGGATGAAATACTATATGGGGGGATGAAATACTATATGGGGGGATGAAATACTATATGAGGGATGAATTACTATATGGGGGGATGAAATACTATATGAGGGATGAATTACTATATGAGGGATGAAATACTATATGAGGGATGAAATACTATATGGGGGGATGAAATACTATATGAGGGATGAAATACTATATGGGGGGATGAAATACTATATGAGGGATGAAATACTATATGAGGGATGAATTACTATATGGGGGATGAAATACTATATGAGGGATGAAATACTATATGGGGGATGAAATACTATATGGGGGATGAAATACTATACGGGGGATGAAATACTATACGGGGGATGAAATACTATACGAGGGATGAAATACTATACGGGGGATGAATTGCTATGGGGGATGAATTACTATATGGGGGATGAATTACTATGGGGGATGAATTACTATATGGAGGATGAATTACTATATGGGGGATGAATTACTATATGGGGGATGAATTACTATGGGGGATGAATTACTATGGGGGGATGAATTACACTATGGGGGATGAATTACACTATGGGGGATGAATTACTATATGGGGGATGAATTACTATGGGGGATGAATTACTATATGGGGGATGAATTACTATATGGGGGATTAATTACTATGGGGGATGAATTACTATATGGGGGATTAATTACTATGGGGGATGAATTACTATGGGGGATGAATTACTATATGGGGGATTAATTACTATGGGGGATGAATTACTATGGGGGATGAATTACTATATGGAGGATGAATTACTATGGGGGATGAATTACTATATGGGGGATTAATTACTATGGGGGATGAATTACTATATGGGGGATTAATTACTATGCTTACTATGGGGGAATATTACTATACTTACTATGGATGACACATACACATCATTCATCTACTCTTGGTCCGGCCCCCGGGTCCAATTATAAAATACTTTATTATTTCATAATAAAGTA